TAAAGTGTATTATTGTCGTGTCTTATTAACATCAATGGTGCTGATTGACATACATATATAAAATGACTGACCATATATAACAAACATTAATACTTGCATTTGATATAGTGCCGTTCACATCAGGAGGACATTTTAAAAGCGCTTCACAGAATTTACTGGAAAGGGTAGTGACTGTTTTGAATCATAGAATCATAGAATCGTACACCACAAAAAGAGACCATTCGACTCATCGAGTCTGTGCCGGCTCTTTGAAAAGAGCAATATAATGTCAATCCCACTTCTCAGTCCCCATAACCCTGTCCTCCTCAAATACCCATCCACCGCGTTTTTAAAAGTAGTTATCGAATCGGCCTCCACCACCCTTTCAGGCAATGCGTTCCAGATTCGAACAACTCGCTGCGTGAAAAAATGTCTTCTCACCTCCCCTCTGCTTCTTTTAGAGACTATTTTAAATCTGTGACCTCGAGTCACGACACACCCACCAGTGGAAACAGTTTTTCCTTTCTAACCTACCAATCCCCTCATGATGTTGAAGACCTCTATTAGGTCTCCTCGTAACATTCTCTGCTCCAATGAGAATAATCCCAGCCTCACTAGCCTTTCCTCATAATCAAGGTCCCTCATTCCTGGTACCATTCTTGTAAATCTCCTCTGCACCCTTTCCAATGCCTTAACATCCTTCCTATAGTGTGGTGCCCAGAACTGGGCGCAGTATTCTAACTGAGACCTAACCATATATAGGTTAGATGAATGACAATGAATATATTGTCTGGTCCACAGATGTGTTGGAGGAAGTTGCCCAACATCTTTTTCACTGGTCCTGATAAGACTCCAGCCACTCCACATATTGGACTGCTTCATAGATCTCAGCAGTGGTGTGCTGGTTAGCCTGAGACTGCCTTTGTTCTGTATTTTTGTAATTATTAGTAAAGATATTATTCACTAATGAGCAGTGCGACACAATTGGCAAATGCAGTATGACTGGCTTCTGAGTGCAATAATTGAGACAGGTGTTAAGAAGTCTGCCTTCAGCACACACAGGCAGCAAGTTCATGTGTGAAATATTTAAAGTTATAACTAATTTGAATGTATTTGAATTTGAATAATTTGAAATACTTAAAAGATATTTAAGTAACATCATAATTTTCACCCTGGAATCTTTGTACCAAGGTAGCAGAGAGGAAAGACTATCACCTTCTCAATCCAGACTAGAAAATTCCTTGGCGGGAAAGACTGCACCTTGACCCATTTAGTATTTGCTACTCAATTTCTTTGTTATGCTTAGTAATTGATCAACCAGATCAGTGGCATAATCTCAGCGCTTTACTCAACCTCCACAAATTTTACTTTGTGCTTTGTTTTTGAACTGCCGTTTGAGTTCAAACCCCTGTACGAACAGATAAGATAAGGTGCTCCAGACCTAAAAAGGTGTGGAATGAAAGCCAAGAAATACAATGGAATCCATCCAGCATGCTTTGGAAGGAAGCAGACTGTGTGAAACTAGGTGGATGGAATGACACATAACTTTAAATGACTACTGACTTGATGAAATGATGGCTGTGATTTTTGTTTGAGAGACAGAAACAGCTGGAATTGTGTATAGTGTCATTCATCACAAGACATCTCCTGTTGTCACATGCAAAGGAAATTCTGACATTTTAATGGAATCTATCTCATCCCTTATGCAAATAAATAAAAAGAATTATGTCAATTTTTTTACATGAAGATGGTACACTTTTAAAAGTAGTAAAAGGTGTGTAATTAAAGATTTGCGAAGCAACACTCACAATTATAGAAGAGTATTATGCAGTATCACAGTCAGAACTCTGCATGTGCTTGAACATGCATTAGCAATAAAAATGGAGACAAAATCTTTTGTTTTGTTCTGATCAATCTGTAAAGCTTTTGATTTAATTTCCCCCCTGATATTAATGCATGTGTTCACACCTCCTCCTCCTCCTCTTACCAGCTGGACAGGCTAGTCTGGATCACAAATGACCTCAATCATCAAAGCTAGTCTGGCGCCGGCTGGCTGTCTTGGATGAGTCAGAGTCTGAAATATTGTTTTTCCATCTTGCTTCAAAGTGTCACTCAATTTTTAATATGAAATTCATTCAACTGAAGTGAGTTTAATGCCTTTGTTACATTAAGGGCCTAATTTTCAGCGCCCTGGGATGTCCTCCCGAGTTGAAAGGCGCTTTAAAAATGTAATTTTGTTGTGTTATTTTACCAACTCCATAATCAGTCACAGGCATGATGATGACTGACTGATGATGACTCACTGATGAGTTAAATTCATTCAACCATTATAGCTACTGTCACCATATAATAAAATACACAGGTAAGTGGAAAGAAATATGATTTTCTATTTTATATGCTTTTTGAAATACTTGTGATAACATATTAGAAATTTACATACACATATTAGCATATTAGACACTCACATAAACATTGGCAGTTGGGTGTCAGTCCTACTAACACTATGAAATGTGTTAAACAATGCCACTACATCAACTGCCTATAGATATAGGTAATCTGCTTTTCACCAATGAAAACAAATCCACCTCTAAGCACAATAATATTTAATCTAATGTGAGGAAATAGCACAAGCACAAAATCAAATCCCGTGATACAATTTTAGGTCACAAGATTAGTGTGGATGAATAATAATCCTTGCATTTGATATAGCGCTTTTCACGTCTTCTAGATGTCACAAAGCGCTTCACAGAATATATAGTAAAGTGAATTGACTGAATATTTTGTGGGCGAAACGCAGCAGCCATTTGCGCACAGCAGTGTCCCACAAACAGTTGTGGACTGGTGACTAAATTATTATTTTTTTTGTTGAGGGATTATTATCAGGCATGTGGAGTAAGGAAACTTGCCCAAGGATTCGCCCTGCTGGGAATCGAGCAAGAAGGCCCTTAGCCCAAATGATGTCATCCTTTCACAACACCCACCTTACCGTCCTCTCATAACAGCAACAAGGAACCTGAGAGACACTCCCTTCTCTTTTCAAATAGTGGACTGGATCTTTAACGCCCACCTGAACAAGCAGACGGGACCTCAGCTCATTCAAAGGGATGGTATCTCCAACATTGCAGAACAGCCTCAGCACTGCATTGGAGTGTCAGACTAGAATAGTTCAAAGTTCGATTTGGGGCTTGAACTCACAACCTTGACATTCAGAGCGAGAACATTACCAACTGAATCAGGCTGACACTTAAAAGTGTGCTCACCATTGATCAATACATTTAGAAAAACTTTGACAGATATTCAAATGCCGTCAAGATGTAATCAAGTGTGGAAGAAAAGTCTGTTGTTTTATGAGTAATCCTTTTTGCAAATCCACTCACTACTGCATTGTTTTTTGTCTTCCTCAATTTATTGACACTAGTAATGACCATGGTCTCCCTTCATTTTTCTTTTTTCGTCCTCCTAACCTGCCATCCTCAATAGCGATTCTCATTACATGGCTCCTTCAGAAATAATCCTTTCCCAGGACTGCAAGAGAGAGGAATTCCTTGTATTATTAAGTCTGTACTCTTACAATCTACAGGAGGACATTGTGGGACATTTCTGTGCACAATCTAGCTGCTGTGTTTGACAACAAAATATACAGTCGCTACACTTTACAGTAAATCCTGTAAAATTCTTTGAGACACCCTCGTTGAAAGACCCTATATCAAATTTAAGGATTATTATTATTACTATAGTTTTTTTGAAAAAACAAGCTTGGTGTCAGCTAAATGCTTCTTGACATCTCATTCAATCTTGGACATTTTCAACTTTGGTGGTTCATCAATGGTCTTGGCCCTTCATCTATGGATGAGAAAACCTGCACTAATAGGCTCATTTGGCCCATGAATTTAGTGGCATGAGGAATTTCTCTTTTCATTAAGATATAAAAAATTATTAGCTTTTCTCATAACTATTTCACAGTGACTCGAAACTTTCTGTGAAAAATCAATCATCACAACCAAATCTATTTCCTTCACCATTTATGCTAATAGACACCATTTCAAGGTACTGAACATGTAAGAGGTCTGAAGTTTCCACCTAATCACAGCCTCCAGCCATTTTGTCTTAAGATTTAAGATGGTAAGGTATTGTGAAATGTAGTTCAAAATTTTAGTTTTAATTTAGAAGCCACTACCATTTCAAAATTGTGTAAAATCTGCTTCCAAATTAAGCCTGAATTATAGAATATTCCACAATTCCAGCAATTACTCGCATTTATATAGTGCCTTATGGAGTAGAATCTCAGAGCACTTGAATTCCACAATTTGGATCTTATCATTTAAAACAAAATGGTTTTACAGGAGAAGATTAGACAGAATTTCAGCCATACAGTTCCGGATTTTATTTTACCATTCTATAGACTAGACTGACACTCCAGTGCAGTACTGGGGGAAGGCTGTTTTGTTGGAGGTGCTCACTTTTGGACAAGAATTTATAACATGGTCCCTTCTGTCTGTGGATTGATATTATTTGAAAAGGGACAGGAGCTTTCTTGCCTTCTTGGCCAACAATCCTCTTGGTCATTTATTCCGTGGCTCTTCTGAGACCTTGCTGTTGCGAATGGCTGCTACGTTTGCCAACACTATATCCTTGAGAGAAAATGCCTGTGAAGCACTTTGAAACATTTTGATGTGATGAATTGATGAAAAAAAGAGTTACTTCTTTATAATCAAGAAAATGTAACAAAATACTTTCAACAAACTTAAAAATTTGAATAATGTGAGGCTAAATACTTACAGTTCCTGTTGGTGTTGTGACAGTAAAGAATTGTGGTAGAAGCACAATTATCACATCAGTTCTACCATATCACTTTAGTTTAGTTACGGGAATATCAGCAGTAAGCAATTCAAGTCACTCAATGATTATGGTGAGCTTTAGCATTTCTCAACCAGGCAAACAAATCGGGCATTCCCATGCTCCTCCCATCCATAGAGAATAACAGAAGATTTGCAAACAAGAAAAAAAACTGAAATACTCACATTGTACAAACAGTTCAATATCCACAGCCTTTCTTGCATGATGTGTCGAATGATTTTGAGAGCAATTAATTTGCACCCAACTTGTAGTATTAAGTTTCTGTATTGTGTAGCTGCTGGTAACCGACAAGGTTCTATTTTCACGTTGATTGCTATTTTCCTTTTTGGTTGATAGGCATTTAAGGTAGTCCTTGCACTTTTTAAAGTATTTGTCATTATGTTTACTTATTGAATAAGGAACTAGAGAAAGGAAAACAAAGGCATAAATGTTAATTTTAACAGTTTGAAAACTAGAATCATGAAGAGATTGAACATCACTTTCATTGTGACATTGGGTTTTATCATCACAATAACAATGCTAACACTATTAACAAACAGGAATGTTTATTTGACAAATATTTTTACATTTCTAAGGAGTTTACAATCCAATAAAATACATGATCTGGTTTGCTTTTAACATCACCATCCTTGCCTCTATTGATTTTGCTTTGCTATGACTGCATCTGGCTTTTGAAAATGTATTATCTTCATTATACAACTTGCCCACAACTTACAGAACTAAAAACATTAACTGAATAACTCATTATTTTATAAACCATAGAAAACACTTTGTAATTCGTCCACAAAATACATAGTCAACCCAATTTACAATATATTCTGTGAAGTGTTTTGAGACATCTCAATGATGTGATAAGGCACTATATCAAATGCAAAGATTATTATTAAATGTATCCTAACTACTCTGTGTGTAAAACAAATCTCTATTAACCTATCCATTTGCTCATTTACTATCTTAAATTGATGCCCTCTAATTATTGATCAGAGGAATTAGGCCAAACCACTCATCCCTGGTATCATCCTAATAAATCACCTCTACAAGCAACTATCGTCCTGGAGGTCACTTACTGCTATCCAGCAAACAATTTAGGGGAACAAAAGATGGTGTGCCATTGAGAAACCAGCCAGAATGGCAATCTTAGTTTAACATGATTCAGTGGGGCATGTCCCACTGCAGAAATTGGTCAAAAACATTTCTAAAAGTAACATAAGTAATGATTTGTCTTATTTCCATCTTTTATATATACCACAACTATTGCACATATTCTTAACCAATATACTATAAAAGCACTCTCTACTAGAAGATTGTATTCGACCAGAAACAATCATATGGAATGTCTTAAACCCATTCCAACACAGTTGAATGTTTTATTAAGTAAACTTACCCCAAATCATCAGATTTATTCTTTTTCTATTTAATCCACAGGAGCTGTTGGAATTGCACACGTGATAATTATTGTTCCACAAGGGGTGAAAGAGGTTCGCACAATTATTTTTTACAGATTTGCTTTCTGTCTGCCCGTGAGATTGAGTTATTATTGCTTTGTCAGTTGGATTTTTTTCTCTCTTTGATCCGCCCAGTCTGCTTATTCCTGTAAAAATGAATGTGAACAGTAACATCCCAAATCCTAAAATAATGTAATCTTGTTATTAAAAAATACAAGTCTGATATGGCGACATACTAATTTTTTTCGCCCACAAAATATACAGTCAATTCACTTTATATTATATTCTGTGAAGTGCTTTAAGATGTGTCAGTGATGTGATAAGGTGCTATAACAAATGCAAGGATTTTTTAAATTAAATTTTGGCTTATAATAAAGAGTATTTAAATGTTACTAAGGGAATTATTTAAGAGCTTGTTGAAGAAGTTATTTTGAAAGTTTCTTTCTTTGCAAAGTTTTTTTAAAGATACAATCTTGGCTAACATGCTTTAATTGAAGTTGAAAAAGTATTTGAAGACGTAATAGAAAAAGCATTAATAATGTAAAGTGAATTGAAGAAACCTCCATGTAAAGAAAGCTCCATGTAATTCAGGGCTCTATTCTCAATACCTTGTCTACTCGGTAACATCATTCACAAACATGAGGTTAACCTCCATACAAATCTACTTTCCCACTTTGACCCTGGATTTTAATACACTGATGTTCTCTCCATCTGCCTATCAGACATCAAGGCCTGGATGAGCCTCAATTTCTTGCAGCTCGAAATGGACAAGATAGAAGCCTTCCTCCTTGATTCCCACCAACATCCCTGGCCTCCTCATCTTCCCTGGCTTTTCTCTCAAACTCACGGAACCACTGAACAACTTTGGCTCTCCTTTCTGTCTATCTGTCTGCAAATCTCGCTTATAAAACTACCTCTTTGATCACACCTACTGTCACCTTCCTCCTCCTCCCTTGCCTGGCATCTGACACTGTTAATTCACTGTTGGTAAACATGCCAACTTTGTAGGTAATGAAGCTATAATTAAACTTTCTCAGTATAAGTTTGTACTAGCTAATATGCCAAATTTACCATTGATTGAGAGAATTGATCCCTACTGTCTGTCTGCTGCATCACATTCAGAACAGAATTTTCTGTTTGAACATTTGAGAAAGCTTGTAAAGAAAGTTTGAAAATAATATGCTTTTAAAAGTCTTGTCTTTATTCTTCAGTTTTGAAAGATTTCACTCCAGGGATTTTGTGCCAAATTGTTTTTGTATTCCATTTTTCTCAGTAATTAAGTTATTACACAGTATTTGACCAAGAATCAGACCTGAAACATTTTCAAGCAGACATCAGCAAGTTTCCAACTGCTACATCTCTGTTGTAATTGACGATTTCAATGTCATGCAACTCACAATATCTGATCTTCAATGATTTTTGGGGGTCAGCTGGGTGTCTAACACGTGCGGAGTATCCAAACCAAGCTGAGAATTCCAGGCATCTCACCGACACATGGAAATCCCAGAGATAGATTGTTGGAATGGAATGCACACTGTCTCCCTGGAGGGATGCATCCTGCTTACCTAATTCCAGGAAGTATTAGGCGCAGATTGGCAAAAGCCAAGGCTTGGGGACCCCAGAGTGTGCATTGAGGTACAGCTGGAGTTTAACCAGCTATAACTGCATAGCTTGCTATTGATAGCACTGTCCGACAAGCTTTCAAGCTGCTTGTCCACGCTACCCATTAGGGCTTTGGCTTGCAAGGTTAATGAGCTGAGCACAAGGATTCCCTGCCCCCCCAAGTCCTGCTGATGAGCCAGGCTGGTTGTGCTGGTATCAGGAATCAGCCTACCAAGATCACCACTGAGGACTGAGTCAATTCTGACATTTTGTTGTCAAACATGTCAATTTGGAGCCAGTTCAGCTCCAAGGAGACCTCACATACCTCCCCCCAAGGAAGATAGACACCAGTTGGTTTGACCTTCGACAAGCATGGGTTTGAGCCCTCATTGGGTGGATCCTAGGTATTAGGAACCCCTGCGAGCTTCCCGGTGGGCAACACGGGTCAGCATAAAATACGTGAGAACATTGCCACCATCTTCCTGTCTGGGCACACATTCCTTCCCATTGAGCGATGGTTCCACCAGTGGAGGTGTGGAGTTTAAGCAGCATCTGCTTACCTCTCTACTGGCCAATCAAGGTGGATTCAAAGTGCTGGATGTACGAACATATGTTCATGAACTCTGACTCCAGGTAATGCCTTCCAACTGCTGTTACCCCAAGCCTCAGAATTTCCTCATTAGCCATCTGGCAGACATCTACCTTCAGCGTAGTAGGAGGATCTTTACAGGACAGCTTGTGACATGACAGCCACCATGATGTTCTTAAGGTCCAGTGACTTTACAGTAAAGCAGTCATTAGTGTGTTAAAGTGCACTCTAAACACTGATTTCGCATAACAGGGAATGAGGCAGCAGAGAACCAATAGAGGGAGCAAATGATTTGGCAAATGATTTGAAAACTAATTTCATTATTTATTGCCTTCAGAAGAAATCATTCAATTTAATTTGAAAAGCATGAAGTTTGTGCTTCACACCGGGAGAGATTGAACTACATTTCATGTTGCCGACATGGGCTTGACTGCAGTGTGTGCATCTCACCCTAATCAGAGGCCATGAATTTCAGTCATAAAATGTATGACTAATGTAGTTAATATTCATTACTGTCATTTAGTCTGGTAACCTTTGTCTGTGGCACCCTTTGAAAGGCCAGCCCTGTCACTAAAACAGGTAGAAAGACAAAGCACTTTTGCTTTTCTGACAACATCAGATCAAGGGAGAGAATAGTTTAGTAGCAATTTCCAGAAGTGCATTATGGCACACATTTAATATTATCAACCCCACATTGGCACTCTAAATGACATCCGTATTTCAAGGGCTATAAGATGTTTCATTGCCATATAGAAAATTTGCTAAATTAACATATTTTCCTTGATGCATGGCTCAGTTTATCACCTTATGTTGCTGACAAAAACGTCAGCCTGGCTCACTTGGTGGCACTGTCTTCTTTGAACCAGAAGATTGTGGGTTTAAGTGCCATGTCGGTATGTTGAATGTATTTAGTCCAGGCTGACACTCCAATTTAATGCTGGAGATGAGCTCCATTGTTGTACTTGCTATCCTTCAGATGAGATTTTGAACCAAGGTCCCATCATTCAGCATTAATTGTTAAGTTGCCAAGGCACTATTTGAAAAGGGAAGGGAGTTTGTCCCTGTGGCCTGGTCAACAATTCCCCAAATAAAATTGGTCATTCATTCCATAGCTGTCTGTGGGACATTGCTATGCACAAATTGGCTGCCTCATTTGTCCACAATAACAACAAATACAACAACAACTTACATTTATATACCACTCCTCATGCAGGGTAACATCCCAAATTGCTTGACAGTCCACAAAACAGTCACTAAACTTTACAATCTATCCTATGAAGCTCTTTGGGATGTTCTCCTGATGTGAAACGCACTATGCCAAATGTAAGGATTATTATTATTAAAATATCAGTCTATCCAATAGGGTGCAGTATGCAGCAGCCCTCTTTGCATATTGACTTTCAGCAGCACCTCCTGTATATTTTGAAAACACCACCCTTTCCCCACCAGACACCATTATCATCCCCATGGAAAATGAAAAAAATAGTCCATTTGGAAACATAGAAATCTACAGTGCAGAAGGAGAATATCCGGCCCATCAAATCTGTACCAGCTCACAGAACAAGGATATTGCTTCAATCTCACCCACCCCCCTTTCATATACCTGTCCAACCCTGTGATCTCCACCAACCAGGAGAGCAAGAACAGTGGAAACACAATCATCTCCAGGTTCCCCTTCGTGTCCTGACTTGGAAATCATAGCTCATTCATCACCAGAATCTGGGTATGAATCCTAAGGAGTACCATCACCACAAGGATTGTAGTAGTTAAAAAAGAATGTAACACCATACCTTCTCAGGGCAATCAATGATGGGCAATTAATGCTGACCCTGTCAGTGTCTTCCACATCTCGAGATAAGTAAACAAAAACATGTGAGGAATTAACCCCATTTGAATTATTAAGCGCTCTGGGACGCTACCCTGCATGAGGGGCACTATATAGTTGTTGTTGTTATTGTATTAACTGATCATTTTCCAACATATTCAGAGCTGAGTTCCCAAGGATCAATGTCATCCAGTTACCTCTAGGATTCCACATTTACAATTCTTTTCAAACCATGTTGCGTGTACTACATTTTAGCCTCATTAGCAGTATTAAGCCATGGGAATAGAGATTTGCTGTTATCAACCAATTAGTATGCAATGACTCAGCATATTAATGTTGCAGAATTACTCATGGTGACTGACATCATGTTCCACTGCCCAACGTAGCAGTAGCATTGTGAATCAGCATTGACCACTTTTAGTACAATTGAGGCCAATTTAATGGTACATTCAGTATTTAGGGCATCGAATGTACCCAGATATGTGGGAAGTGGACCAACCCCCCTCCAATGTTCTCAACTTAAAATCTATCAATCTGCGCCTTTGACAATGAACTTTGAAGGCTCCCCTTCGTGGACTTCATACCTGAGAACAACCACAGTGTTCCACTTACTGCACATCCGGGTACCTTCCATGTGCTAAATATTGAATCGATGGATAAATTGATCCCAAAAAATACCAATTATCTGACCAGCAGCAAGTATCCTTCAAATGCGTCAACCTGCAGTTTCTGTGACTTTCAAGCACTATTCCAAATTTCATAATTACAGGCAAGGTGCTACACTTTGAGACGTGACGAGATTCCACAGAAAATCAATTTTTTTTTAAATTGGGGCTCTTAGTGCTGTAATCAGCATTTCCTTTTAGCACTGATCATGAAAGGCTGGTGAGGAAATTATTTGTGACAGGTCAGCTTTTGAAACAATTTTGCATCTGTATTTTGGAAAGACTTCTAACACAGACGCAAATTATTTTACAAACAGATGATGTTCTTTTTGTTGATTACATTTTGAAAAGACCACCCTTTCCCCACCAGACACCATTATCAAGCTACAATGGAATCTGCCTCCATCATCCTACTCGGCAGGGCGATCCACACTCCAATTACTCTCTGGGTGAACAAAATCTTTCTTTCGCTATTCTTGTGGCTATCATATAACTGTAACTTAGTTACTAACTCCCCTATATAACCACTCAGGAGAGGTTTGTTGCCCGACTTCTTTCAAATTCAAATTTTTATTCCTCTTCTATTTTTTACCTTGCTCTCCTTAAAGCGTGGATACTTTCATGGCTGATACTTTGTGAGGTGCACTTTCTGGTACGCAAGCCTCCCTCCAGTACTCCAGTTTTCCAATCAAGCACTCTCTTGTCCACAACTGATGTCCAAACATATGCACTTTCCAATTGGGGTTACTGGATCCCCTTCAAAAACAGATAACTTGACTGATTTTCCCCTCCTTGGGCCAGGGGCACTGAAGTCTACTGCAGCTCCAATGCTGACATCCAAACTGAGATTAGCTGACTCAACATTGAATCTGCAACCTTCTTGATCGGTGGACACCTGAACAGACAGTGAATTCTACAAAAGTCATTTACAATATTTAGCTGTAAGGTATATTTTGCTCTTGATTTGATGGGGGAGATTCATCTCTCTCTCTTTAAATGTATTGATCTTGTTCTTTGGAGCTCTCGCGCTTTACATCAGAAACAGCTAACCCAGCCGTCTACAATGCTAGCATCAAACCAACTTCTAGAAGAAATGTAGGAGTAGCCAGGGCAAATTCAAGTTGATTTCCCCTCTCTCCCTCCTCGGGAGAAGCTCCCAGGCCTCCAGAAGGTCCCTCCCTCACCCTGACACAACTAAGCCTGACCACCATCAAGCAACATCTTAGCCCAAAAGAAGTAAAGCTTTCAGATTTTAACAAGATCTATTTAATGTTTTTATCTATTCAGTGGTTTGATTTGTTTTTGGCTAGCTAGGATGAACAATACTAAGAATAGATTCATAATACAGCATTATTGCAGCTCACATTAAAAAATACAAATATGGTTCAGTATATAAACACACCGTCTGGTGTGGTAATGAACTATGTACATAGATCAAGAAAGTCTAGTCATTTAGTCTGAGTTAGGGAAGTGTCGGGACAGAAATAGGGAACTGCAATTAATCTCAATACTGCGTTCCTACACCCATCTCCCTTTACTGGAAACTATATGTATGCAGATTAGAGAAGGCTGAAATCTCTGTTGGTTTCAAGAGTAGTGATATTCACAATGTTAGCTTCCAGCAGGATTTCTCTATTATAATTATGCTTCATCAATATTTCTACATGCAATGCCAATGGAAATATCAGGCAGGACAGGCTCAACTGTGATGTCTCTGTGCTCAGAATCCAGATCAGTCCTACTGATTACACAGCAACCACATATCCTCCCCACCACCAGTGGCATCTTATATATCTGAGCTCCTCATGTATCTGAGCTTTGGAGGACAGGTAAGAAAAGGGAAAAGACACATAGTTAGCTGCAGAAAAATTAACTATATGTAGCAGAGGTGTAGCACATATCTAATGAAGGTGAATAATGCAACAGGCCTACAAATATAAAATGCTGCTCGAGGAATCAATCAATCAACAGGGAACTCAGTTTTATATTGTATTTATTGTGAGATGTTTAAACAACACCACCAACAACAAAATTACATTTATTTAGCGCCTTTCATGTTGGGAGGACTTCCCAAGGTGCTGGACATTCAGTGTTTCAGACCCGAGCTGGGAGTCGGCATTGGGGAAGGTGGCAAAGCGGGGGAAGCAGGGTGATTAAAAGCACGAAGGCGGAAAAGAGCCCGAACAAAATTCAAATATCATTGCGCATCAGTCAATAATTCCTAAAATCATAACTGCATGCAAATCTATACATAATTCAGTAAAAATCAACAGAAGATCCCACAAAAGATCCCACAAAATGTAGGGTCTACATATTTGTGGATGGGAATACATATCCTCTAGCGTGCTGAAACGTGAAAGGCGCTTTATCAAATCAAATGCAAGGATTATTATTATTAAAAAGCCTTAAAATAGTCCAGTTTATACAGAAGCATTGCTCAAATGTTATCAGGTTATGAATTGTGATTTCAAAAAATATCAGCTTTTTTATTTGGCCCTTCCTTTCCCAAAGTGGTTTGACTCCTATTTCCTTCTGCTGAGATTTCATAAAATCATAGAATTATACAGCACAGAAGAAGGCCGTTCGGCCGATCGTGTTTTCGCCAGCTCTTTGAAAAGAGTTATCTAAATCAATCCACTCCCCGCTCTCTCCCCATAGCCCTGCAAACTTATTTTTCGCAAATAATTATCTACTTTTCTCTTAAAAGTTGTTAGCGAATCCGTTTCCACCACCCTTTCAGGCAATGCATTTCAGATCCGAACAAGTTGCTGTGTGAAAACATTTCTCCTCACCTCCCCCGTTTCTTTTAACAACTATTCTAAATCGATGTCCTTGGGTTACTGACCCATGTGCCAGTGGAAATAGTTTCTCCTTATTCACCCTATCGAATCCCCTCATAGTTTTGAAAACTTCTATTAAGTCTCCTCTTAACCGTCTCTGCTCCAAGGAGAATAATCCTAGCTTCTCTAGTTTCTCCTGATAACTGAAGTTCCTTATTCCTGATAGCATCCTGGTAAATCTCCTTTCTAAAGAACTGAACACAGTACTCTAGCTGAGGCCTAACCAGTGTTTTATAAAAGATCATCAATGCACTACTCCAGTTCCCTGGATAATGATAAGGAGTGGGAACCCAGATTGATTTTATCCTTAGGTCAAAGCCACAGCCCAGCTAAAATCAGCTAACTGAACATGGACTGGGAACCGATATCTTTCGGTCTGTACATTTCAGAAGCTCATTAAATAAAGCGAGGTTCCAGGTCACTGAGGAGTTGGATTTGTTTTAGCAATAGGCAAAATGAAGCATATGTGAGAGTTGAATATATAATGCAAAAAGCAAATTAATTAAATGTGCTTAAGAAACTATATTTCTCAAACAACATTTGAAACTCAGTTAACTCGTAAATTGCTGGATTATCTGTTAAACTTTCAAACTTTCAAAAGCTGCTGACGAATAAGTATCTAGACACCAACCAAAGTACAGCTAAAGTGTGTGCGGTTTGTTTAATATGGTGCATTGGATTCCAAATGCGTCATGTTACTTAAGTTTCTCCCGTGGTTATCCACGCCAGCCTCAGGCCACAAGAAGAAGAACAACAACAACTTGCCTTTATAGAGTGCCCTTCACACGGGGCAGCGCCTCCTAGCACATAGAGCAGCCTGTCCAACACCGTGACAATTAAAAGCAACACTGTGACAATTATCATTATTAATAATTATGACATTGAATGTTACATTTTTTTACCCCTCAAATCAATTCTCTGTTATTCTGTTGTATTTATCCCACGTTTTAACTTGTGGAGGTACAGTATCTCTGCACACTGCTTGCTGCTAGTAATTACGATTATTTTTTCAAAAGATCGCAAGATTAGTTTGGATGCTCACTCTTCCTGAAATACTTATCCCACTGATTTCACACCCAGCATTGAGCTGTTTTTAAAATGAGGCCAGTGTACTGACCTCAACCCCCACCCTTTCTAGTAACCTGTTCCAGCAGTTAATTGTCCCCTGGGTAAAGAAAAGTTTCCTGGTGTCTGCCCTGAAATTGCCCTTTGCAACTCTGCCATCATGTTAAATCTGTTATTGATGTATATTGTACAGGAACATAACAACATAAATATATCATTGGACACATTTCTTCACTCTGTTTCCACATCCCTTCATATGCTTATCTGCTTCTCTCATTAAACTCAATTGTTTCTGCAGATTTGACTGGTTGGGGCAGTGCAGCTCACATTCTCACACCTCTTTCTTTGACAAAAAATATTTACTCATTTATCTTTTGACCACCTTAGCTATAATGTTAAGATTATGAGGCATCCATTCAATTACAAAATTGGGATACAGTTATGAAATACATAGTCACTGCACTTTGCGGAATATCCTATGAAGGCGAGCGCTTTGAGTCGAAATGAAAGGATTATTATTATTTTATAAATGAGAGTACACATTAAAATTGAATCTAATATAAATAGTCACTCAGGGCTCAGACGAAAATCTTAATTTCTTCAGGGGAATGTTTAAAATACCCTGGTTTTATCTTAAAAGTAGCATAAAGTTTCTTTCTCTGACTGACTAAGCATCAGCTCATCGATATATTTGAATTGTTACTGGTAAAGTGTTGTTTGGAAACTTACCACTGGTGCTGAAAAGCTGACACAGTAGAAGAAAGAGTATAATCTCCATGTTCTCTGCAGAGACCTGAGCTGCAGATAATGATCTGTGTTCTGATCAGAGAGGAAGGACTTGAGCAGCAACTGTCAGCAAACCAAATGATATAATAAGTCATGCGTCAACCTTTACCACAAACAGCTACGACTTCAGACCAATTGTTTTCTGAGTTCGGTTTCATTTGTGCAAAAATCATCAAGTTTCACAAGAAAGGTCAGCAACGTATGGTTCTGGGGCACAAGTTGTTTCTCAAATCACTCATAGCAAATCTGAACACAATGTAAAAAGTGTAGCACAGTGGAATTCATATTTTAACTGTGTTTATATGACAGTATGTTATACAGTTTAAAACTATTTATGAGGTAACTGTTGTAAATGAAGATTTATGTGGAAACCCTCCTGGGAGTCATTGATTCTGATAGAATAGTGTCATTCCTGAGTCAGACACTGCATCTCAAAAGTCAGGCAGTGCTGTTCCTCCAGAGACAGCATTGTTGTAGCCATCTACATAATTAATAGGTGTGCATCCAAATTGCCAATGGTGCTGAGGTTTGAACATGCTCGTGGTATAAAGACAACATGCACTGACTGCTGGCGAGAAGCAAATATTTATCTTATGAGTGTCTTGCCAAGCTTGTGAAAAGAAGTTATATAAACGTAAATTGTATTACATTGAATTGTAATCCTGTCACGAAATTAACCCAACCCGGTCAACTGTTGAATATTGCAGACATTCAACACATCTATGTCTTCCTCATCTCCAAGCACAAGTCACATAATTTCCTGCACCATGAATCTAGGCAGATGGCCTACTCTCAGCATCTGACAACATGAAGCAGGTCCAGAAGATGGATCTCGCCTATTGTGATACCCCCTCAATCCTATCCCACCCCATGCCACATATCACGACTTTGAGCTCATAGTTGAGGCTGACACTCCAAAGATGGAGATGTGCTGCATCATCAGAGGTGCTGTGTTTTGAAAGAGTCGTTAAACTGAAATCATGTCTTCCTGTTCTGGTGGATGATAAAGATTCCATGGCAGTTTTCGAAAAGAGAAGAGTGTGTCTAGCCAATAATCCTCCAGATAAAATTGCTGCGTGCAAATAAGCTTCTGTGTTCAACTGCAAAATACATAATCATTACACTCTACACAGGCATTTCCAAACTGGGGCCATGAGATGGTTTCAGGGGGCTATGGAGCCGGGAGACACACCAGAAGTGCAAAGGCTACGGAAGTCTAGTTGGACTATGGGAGCCCAAAAAGAGATGTGAAAGCGCATATTCACGGTTCCTGAGGTATTTCAGGACAGCCTTTTTTGGAAGCTGTGAGGAAGGGAGGCAACCTGTTTGTTCGTGTGTGTGAATGTGTGTGTGGGAGAGGTGGGAGGGGCCTCAGTCAGAATACATGTTGAGTGAAAATATCAGGCCAGTTCAACATCAAACTACAGTGTACTTAGGTTTCATTCGATTATGGCTCACTGAAGAATCTAAACAGAGCCAAGTAGTTGGGTTGCTGATACAGGAACACTGAATAATGTGTCAATGTTATCTCACACCTTTTTTTGCAGCTTTGCATATTTACAACTGTGTTATCACCCCCATAAGCATTTCTTTATCCGTCTCGTTTTATGACATTTTCTATGCTTTTGTTTCACATGACAGTTTGGCGAATTTCACTCTCATCTCTGAGTTTGAGATTCATACCAGGGTTTGAACTCATATTCTAGGCATACTGAAAGAATGATACATTTTTGGATGTGCTGACCTTCAGATAGAACATTAAACCGAGGTCCTTTCTGCTAGCTCTAATGCACATTAAAGATCTCAGGGCATGAATTTCATGAGAGCAAGACCTGGCCTATATTCCTGTATCAATAAAAAAGCTTAATTATGTTACAACAAACACACTATATAGCACCTTTCACATCAGGAGGTTCTGGACATTCGAGGGTTTGCACCCGAGCTGGAAATTGGAGTCGGGAGGGATGGGTGCTTGCTGTTTGTGGACATCACTGGGGTAGATTAAAAAAGTAACTAATTTTCTGAAGTGCTTCAAAGAATTTTGACTTGATTGATATCAAACACAAAATGATCATTATTATTACGCATACAGTATACATCTTTGGAGTTTTTCAAATTAGCATTTATTGTAAGGAAATCAGATTTGGGAGGTCTTACTCAGGCAATCTGTCACTTCCTACAGTTACATAGATTAATATGGCATGGAAATAGGCCATTCAGCCCAACCAGTCCATGCTGGTCTAGTTATAAAATTTTAAATTTATATGAAAACAGATCTGTGTTTTATATTTTTTGGCCAGAGATGGTTAAACTGAATGATCAATTTCATCTGGAGGATTGTTGGGCAGATCTGCAGGAAAAACTTCCTTCTCTTTTCAAAAATTGTCATGGGATTCAGGCAGATGTGACCTTAATTTAAGGTCTCATCTGAAGGACAGCACCTCCAACAAAGCAGCAGCACACCCTCAGCATTGCATTGGAGTGTCAGCCAAACTACGGGACTTGAACCTACAACCTTCTGACTCAGAGACGAGAGTGCTACCAATGAGCCAGGCAGACACTTGATCCGCTGAAAAACAAAGATCATCTAAAGGCCTACTGATTATAATCGTAGAAACCCATGCATATAAGGGAGCTTAAACAGAATTGTAAACAGGACAAGAATCTGGCCTGCTGAGAGCCTGCTAGCAGTAAACAATTGAAGTAGGTGTAATTTACTTGTTTGCTGCAATGACTGATGTTTTACACATGGACAGATTTGCAAGATAAAATGTACCTACATCTTTTCAATTAGGAAAGCTGACATAACCTCTGTGCCTCTTCTTCCCAAACCCACCCTGCTCAAATATTAAATTTCCCATTATCTTGCTATTGCCAGGATTTATATCTTTAACTTAGATCATGTAATGAACAGCTGAAGAATGCCCAGCTGGAGGGCAGTTGCTATCTCAGCTTGTGGGGTAATATCAAGCACCAAGTCAAATACCGTAAACCAATTTTGCTTATTGAGCTGGTAATTTATAGAGTTCTCAGTCTTTGAGACTCCTACAAATTATTTGTTAAGCGGTAAAAAAAATGAAAACGCACAAACTAGATGTTCTTTAAAGGCACAAATATGTCACAAAGGTAACAGCCTGGCTGAGTAAGTAGCACTATCACCTCTGAGTGAGAAGGTCCTGCGCTTAAGGCCTGAGAAGTGTAGGGGTGAGTTGTTTTGCTGTAGATTCCATCCTTCAGATGAAATGTTAAACTAAGGTCTCATCTGCCTCATCAGGTTGACATTAAAGATCCCATGATACTATTCTTGGGCCTTGGGACTTCCTCCCGATGTGAAAGGCGCTTTACAAATGTAATTTTGTATTATATTCGAAAAGAGAAGGGAATGTGCCCACAATCCTCTACATAAAAGGATCTTTCCCTTCACGAATATTTGTAGAACATTTCTGTGCCCAAATTGGCTACCATGTTCACCAACAAATATATAGTTACTACACTGTACAATAAATCCTATCAAGGGTTTTGAGATCTTTCAATCATGTGATAAGACACTGTATCATATGCAATGATTATCACTAATATTCCAATATACACACATATCTTTAACATACAATAAAATCAATGAAAGTTTACAGAATAGACAGTCATTTGTGCCCATCATTCCGGTGCTAGCTTCCACACTGGGAGCTCCCTAATCTAATCCCATTACCTTGCTCTCTCCCCATTATTCTTTAATTCTAGTTTTCCTCAGCATTTACCCATCTCTTTTTAAAATATGGTTAGGAAATCTACTCAAAACAAACAGAAAATTAAATATCTTTCTCCTAACCAGAACACAGTAAGAATAAGAATAAGAATTTCGCTATGTTATACACAGGAATGATTCAGTGAACCAGATGGAAGGAAAGATAGTAATCCTTTATTTTCTTTTTCCTTTTGGAACTCTATCCACAACCTACCCGTGGCCTTGACATCTGTTGTGCGTCATTGAATGGTGCGTCATGAGGGATGCTCTGTGAATAAGCCATCAATGTAGTGCAGAGCAATACTACAGAGTTCATTTTTTTCAGTCCTGTGCATGTTTTGTCTCTACTTGAGAGATATTGAATATTTGTTAATAAGTTTTTAAAACAATATACAAAGAGAGATTTGATTCCTTAAATTAAGTCTGAACATCCCTAATTGGGTTTGCCAGTCCTGGGTGCAAAGATTAGGATTGTCATATTGGAGTAAATAATCTAACACTCACTGATGTCATTTCATGCTGTTATTTCTTATGATTAATTACTCATTAGTCAGAATGCTTGTCTGTTTTTAAACATGCAAGATAAGTAATGCTGAATTTCTGGAAATGGAAGATTAAGTGTTGGGTTTACAGAATGATTTTTTTAACCTATAAGGGCCAACTTTAACCAGTTAATTTCATAACATCTGGTATAGCATCAAGTAGTTTTGTTTGGTAAATATTCTGAACTCACTGCACAACACATTGTGGCTTCAGCAAACTGATCTAAACTGGGCCCCAGGAAACGACACAGCCCTCCCAACCTAAGTGCCATTTCTTATCTGCTAATCTCACTTTCAGGGGTTCAGTCCTATGTAACTGAAGAAAAATAAAATTAATTCTAATAATAACCATTTGCATTCAATATAAAGCCTTATGTTGAAAGGTCTCAAAGTGCTTTACAATATTGTGAAGTCATAGCACATGCTGCATATTCCTCTGCACATAGGTTTTGCAAACTCACTGCTTGTCGGCCTCCCCAACTCCTCCCTCCACAGGCTGCAGATCAACCAGAACTCTGCAGCCCATGTCCTCTCCCGCACTAGGCTCCGCGACCCTATCACCCCCATCCTTGCCCAACTCCACTGGCTTCCCATCACACAGAGGATACAGTTCAAGATCCTGGTCCTCACCTTCAAAGCCCTCCACGGTCTTGCTCCCCCCTAACCCCCTACCAGCCTGTTCGCTCCCTCCACTCTGCAGGTTCCAGCCTGCTCCACATCCCCCACCTTGCTTGCCCCACTATCAGTGGGCGGGCCTTCCGCCACTCTGCT